CTTGCTTAAGCCCCGTAACCGAAGACTCCGCCACCCGGCACGGGGTAATGAGAGGAAGCGGCAGCAGCACAGATAAGATCAATGATCAGCAGAAGACGAGAGGGCGGAGAAGGGGAGTGGAAGGCAGAGAAGGCAGGAGAGCCCAGAATCGAATCGGTTAATCGGATCGGCGATCGATATGAATCGGATCGACAGAAATCGACAGCCAAGTCGGGAGAAGCCGAATCGGCAGAAATCGGCAGGCGAGTGGGCATCGATAGCATCCAAATCGGAATCCGAAGTCGAATCGAATCGAAATCGGAGGCCATCGAAATCGAAGTCGAATCGGAGGAATCGGAACGAGCCCTGGAGAAGGGGAGGAGGAGGAGGAGGAGGAGGAGGAGAAGGAGGAGGAGGAGAAGGAAGGGAGGAGGAGGAGGAGGAGAAGGAGGAGGAGGAAGAGAAGGAGGAGGAGGAGTGGAGAGGGGGAGGAGGAGGAGGAGGAGGAGGAGGAGGAGGAGGAGGAGGAGGAGGAGGAGAGGAGGAGGGAGGAGGAGGAGGAGGAGGGAGGAGGAGGAGGAGGAGGAGAAGGAGGGGGAGGGGGAGGAGGAGCAGGAGGAGGAGGAGGACGAGGAGGAAGAGGAGGAGGAGGAGGAGGAGAGGGAGGGAGGAGGAGGAGGAGGAGGAGGAGGAGGAGGAGGAGGAGGAGGGAGAGGGGTGGGGGAGGGGGAGGAGAGGAGGAGGAGGAGGAGGGAGGAGGAGGAGGAGGAGGAGGAGGAGGAGAGGAGGAGGAGGAGGAGGAGGTGGGAGGGGGGAGGAGAGGGGGAGAGGGAGGCGAAGGAGGAGGAGGAGGAGGAAGACGGGGAGGGGGAGAGGGAGGAGGAGGAGGAGGAGGAGGAGAGAGGAGGAGGAGGAGGAGGAGGAGGAGGAGGAGGAGGGGGAGGAGGTCCGCTGCTCCCTCCCCCCCCCCTCTGCGGGGGGGGGGGGGGGCTCGCGCCTGCGCGGACGCCAAGCTCCGGCGGCCGAGACGCCCAGCTGTCTCGCCCGTCAGACGAGGCGACTCGCTATACATTCGACTCGGTCTTATTTTTTGGCGGCGAGCCCGGGGGGAAGTATAGTTGACTGCGTTGGTGGCTTCCCACACAACCCTGTGCAATCAACAGCGCAGTTTCCTGTGCAGTCCCCTTATGGTTTCTGCGTACTTTTGAAGATTTCTCCTGTAGAAAGACATGCTCGACTTAGTCTCAAATGGAGAGCGGTGGATCCGCGCTCCCGAGGACACGATCACTCGCTAAACAGCTGCGGATCCGCGCTTCCGAGGCCACGATTCCCTGAACAGAGCTGTGGGTCCGTGCTGCCGAAGCCACGCTCCATTAGAGGCCTCCTAGATGGGGTCCGAATAGATGGGGTCGGAGGATCTCGTCGCATCGCCGATATATCGGTGATGTATCGCCGATGCCTCGGCGATGCATCGGCCATGCACCGGCGACGTCGGCGGTACATCCGTAACGTCGGCGTGGAGAAAATTGGGCCCCACATCGAGCCGCATCGCCGATGCATCGGCGATGCGGCGCGATCCTCCGACCCCATCTACTCTGTCCCCATCAAGGATGCCTAGATCCATGGCAGACAAACACTGGATCCGCGCTATTGGGGATGCAGAGAAACCGCACTCCCAGGGATGCGGAGGACCATGGTGAGGGGGAAGGCGCGAATGGACGAGGGAGGTTGCTGTGAGGGATGGGAGACGAGAGACGACGAGCAGAGAGAATGGAGAAGAGATGCCAGACAGGAATACTGGAGACTACGTGGCCCTGGTGGCCTGTACTGTACCCCGTAACAACATACCTATAAGACCACCATTCGGGTGATAAGGAGAATCGGGGGAGGAGAGAAACCACCGTCTCATTCAATCGATCTCACTATCGATCTCACTATCGATGCGACTGTCGATCTCACTATCGATCTCATTACCGATCTCATGATCGATCCCACGATCGATCCCACTAGCTATCTCACGATCGATATCACTATCCACCTCACTATCGAGATCACAATTCATCTCACCATCGACATCGCAGTCGATAGCACGGTCGATCCCGCCATCGATCTCGTGATCGATCTAGCTAGATCGATATCCCTACCGATCTCATAATCGATCTCACAATAGATTTCGCCATGCATCTCACTATCCCTCTCACTATCGATCTCAATATGGGTCACACTGTCGATTTCACTATCGATACAACTAGCGGACTCACCATCGATACCACTGTCGATCTCAGTATCGATCTCACTATCGATCTCAGTATCGATCTCACTATCGATCTCACTATCGATCCCACTAGCGGTCTCACTGTCGGTATCACTATCGATCTCACTACGGGACACCGGCGGGACACCGAGAGGATACAGGCGGGACACCCGCGGGACACCCCTTGCCACCGCCGGCCAAAACGTTAGGCGGTCCTCTGGCCCAGCGGCGTCCTAGCCAAATGAGTTCACTCCTCTCGCCGGCCCACGCAGCTTCGCCACGCCCGCACGCATGACACGAACACAAAACTGACACCGATTTCCTGGTGGATTCTGCGTTTCACTGGGATCTCACCCCTCACCTCCGATGTAACAACATTGAAACGACACTCACACCCGAACCTTGAATTCATGGCGGTTGCGTCATCCAACTGGACGGGCATCGTACCCCTAAATGTGATGATTGCCTTGCGGCAGAAGAAATGAATGGAGGAGGAAACGTAACCATCATCTCGGCCGCGATGGCAGCTACACAACTCGCCGCCAAACAAACCAACTCAATGTGAATGAACCTCGACGTGGCGAAACACGCGGCTCCCCCTTATCCATCCCTTCTGCTCCCTCTGCTGCTCTCCCCACCACCTCCCCGTACTGCCCCCTCTCCAGCTCCTGCCCCTCCTTACCCTCCTCCTGTTCCCTCCTCCCTCCGGCTCCGCCCCCTCTCCACCATCCCCCCCTTCCCCCGTCTCCGCCTCATCCACAGCTTCGCTCCTCTCTGCTGCTGCCGTCCCTCTACTCAGCTCACGTACACACAGAACCCCGCCTGCGTTGCACCTGCGACTTCCTCACAGCTAACGATTCTGAAGCTTAGAAAGCTTAGCGTAAGAGCTAGCAGCAGCTTCAGGGATGCACGGCGGGTGGGTTTCAACGTATGGCTCACGCCGTAGGGCCGCACACCTTCATTCATAGCACAAGTTTCCAACAGCTTCAAGGATGGAGGGCGCGTCCTTTTCGAAATATGGGCATCGCCCTAGCGCCGCACATATTCCTTCTTACAAGTTTGTAACACGTTCACGCACATTCCTTTTATAAGTTTCCAACAGCTTCAAGGATGCATGGGCAGTGTCTTTTGAACATGTGGCTCTCGACTCAGTGCGCGCGCATTCCTCTTGAACTGTTGCAGCCGTTTAAGGATTCGCATGGTTGAAATCCCAGGAGTTGTGTTTTGGCACGATGCTGAATTGTCAAGACGCTACAGTCAGGGCGATCCGTGTTGTTGAAGTTCCGAGGACTTGTGCTTTGGCGAGAGTGAGGATTGCCAGGCCGCAACATTCACGTTGATTCGAGGCATTCGAACCACAAGAGCTGTCTTGACACGACTGAGGATTATCAGATAGCAACGACCATACATTCTTGTACGGGCCTGAGAAAAGGGTAACATGGAGGGAAGGCTCATTGCAACATCGTTGATGCGTCTTGGGTTTGCACTGGTATTGGGCTTTCACTGGTAATTCTCCTCATCATCATCCTTCCTTCTACTTCACCTCCACCACCTGCTCCTCCGAGTCCCCCTCACCACAACATTCCCCATCATCCCCCTCTTCTTGCTACTCGCTACTGTTTCCTCATAAACCTCATCTTCCTCCCACTCCACCTTGTCCGTCTCCTCCTCCTCCTCCTCCTCCGCATCCTCTCCACGCTTTGGCTCCTACACTGGTGAGAACGCAGCAACCACGATATCGCCGCGGTGGCCCCACAAGGTGTGCAGACAGTCTCCCGAGCCTGTGCACCAAACCTTGGCGTCCTCGGGGGAGGCGGTCAGGACCTCCTGCCCGTCTGGCGAGAAAACAGCAGACTGCACAACGGCGCCGTGGCCCTCCAGGGTGCGCAAGCACTCGCCGGAGCCCGCGCACCAGATCTTCGCCGTGCGGTCCAAGGATGATGGGCCGACTTTCCACCACCACTACCATAATTACACAGGGGAGGGAGGAGGAGCAGGAGGAGCAGGAGGAGGAGGAGGAGGAGCAGGAGGAGGAGGAGGAGGAGGACCTCCCCATCGCCCCTTCTCCTCCCTCCGTCCCACGTGTGGTCGTGGTGGTGGAAAAAGGAGCCCACCAAAGGAGGCGGTCAGCACGGTGCGCCCGTCCGGCGAGAACACGGCGGAGCCCACGACGTCGCCGTGGCCCGCCAGGGTCCGCAGGCACCCGCCGGAGCCTGCGCACCAGAGCCGCGCCGTGCGGTCCGGGGAGGCGGTCAGCACGGCGCGCCCGCCCGGCGAGAACGCGGCGGACCACACCTATGACTACCTACGAGACAGCCCCAACCCAACCCGAAGACTCGAATTTCGGGTCGGGGGGGTACGGGTTCCACATGTGTTTTTTCAATGTTCCCCGACCCCCCCCCCTCCCACTGGGAATGGAGGGCAAATGGAGGCCTTCGGGTTGGGTTGGGGTGGTTTGGTGGGTGGTGAACCTCGTGCCCGTGGCCCTCCAGGCTGCGCAGGCACTCCCCGGACCCGGCGCACCAGATCCTCGCCGTGCGGTCCCGGGAAGCGGTCACCACCTCCGACGCGTCGGGCGAGAACGCGGCACACCAGACGTTGCTGCCGTGGCCCTCCAGAGTGCGCAGGCATGCGCCGGAGACCACACACCAGATCCTCGCCGAGTGATCGTAGGAGGCAGTCAGTGCCTTCTGCCCGTCCGGCGAGAATGCTGCGGACCCCACGACACCGCCGTGGCCCTCCAGGGTATGCAAGCACTCGCCAGAACCTGCGCACCAAATCTTCGCCACGCGATCACTGGAGGTGGTCAGTCCGCCACCGTGCCGCGAGGCACGAAGTGGAGTGTCCGCATCACCCTTGCATCTCGTTGCTATAAGGGTTATAGGGTGCTGTTCAAAGAAGCCCAGGTCCCAGACTTCCTCGGCGCTCTTTCTTGCGTGGCGTGACTTGTCCTGAGGCCTTGGGAGCGTGGTTGAAGCCCACGCTTGCAACCTGTCTTGAGATGGCGCAGAGGGGCCGTGCTGGAACCCTGTTGCGGGCGCCGATGGGGAGGCCCAAGTAAACGAACATCAAGTGGCATCATCATGAATTTCTCACACTCGCACTGTAGATCCCAAGCGCGTCCGAACTGGCCCGAGAAGGTCCGAAGAGGGAGACCTCGATGGGGTGCGGACCTACGCCAGTAGGGCCCTGGACACAGCCACCATGCCCCCAGCGGTGCTCAAGAGGCACCCACGGGCTCTCCCGAAAAAAAACCCAGGAGGCCACCGACACGCAGAAGCCATCATGAGGCCCCCAAAAGCCTTCGCGAGGAGCCCCACGAGACCCAGGGAAGCATCCGGAAAACCCGCTCTTGGCCACGAGCCAGGCACGGCGGCGGGATGGCAGGGCGTTCGCCGCCCCCTGTTGCTGGCAAGAAAGGTCGCTGGCGCGTCGGCCGATCCAGCTGGCCACCCAGAAAAGTTCGAGGCAAGGGCGTCTCCGCCCAAGATGGCCCCTAAGAGGGCCTCGAAGGCGATCGAGATGGCCCCAAGGGGGACCTTGAGGCTACCAAAGCGGCACACAGTGACTCCGAAACGGCCCAGTATGCCGTCACGAAGGCCCGAGGGGCCCCCAAGGCGCCCTACGAGGTCTCCAAGATGACGTTCAGGAGGTAAACAAAGTTATGCCATTTGGGTGGTTCAATCGTTGTCGCGTTCTCGCCTGTCTGGACTGCTTCTCGCAGCCGAAGATGGCCCAAGAGGCCTCCAATACAGCCCCAAGACAGCCCCGGAGCCCCAAAGAGGACCCCAAGACGGCACAAGAGGCCCTCAATACTGCCCCGAGAGGCTCCAAGACGGCCCAACAGCACCCAAAGAGACCCCCATGAAAGAAAGCCCAGGGAGGCCTCCAAGACGACCTCCGAAAGCCAGAAGGCCCCTTAGAGACCACCTGGGGCCCCCAAGATGCCCCCGCGAGGCCCCAGGAGGCCTGCAAGAGGCCCCCAAGATGCCTCCCAGTGGCCTCCAAGATGCCCCCAGGAGGCCATGATGCCCCCAAGTGCCCCCCCGAGCCCTCATTAGTTCTTCCTCCTCCTCCTCCTCCTCCTCTCCTCGTCCTCGTCCTCGTCCTCCTCCTCTCCTCGTCCTCGTCCTCGTCCTCGTCCTCGTCCTCGTCCTCGTCCTCCTCTTTCTTCGCATCCTTCTCTCTCCTCTTCCCCTAAGTTTTTCCCCCAAGGGTTTCCACAACGGCTGGGGAGCATATGGTTCAATAGCTTGGCCAAGTATTGGCCTAACGTTTGCCCGCATCGGCACTTTCAGAACAGCGGGGGGCGGCGGTGGCTCACCGGATGCGTCTTCGATCCACTGACCCCGAGTGCCGAATTTTATAACACTTCCTGGCCCTTCCAAGAGGATCCCAATTGAACTCGGTTCGACCCGCTACTCACCCAGAATCCACCACAACGCCGCGCCCAAGGTGCAATTCATCAGCTTCTCCGCCCCACATGGTCTCAAGAACGTCACAGTCTGCAAAGAGGCCCTGGTCGCGATCAAGTCCGTCCAAGAGGGCCCAAGATGCCTCCGAGATGGCTCCAAGATGGCCGACGATGCCCCCCAAGAGGACCCAAGGTGGTCGCAAGACGACCCAACAAGGCCCCGAGGGTGCCCCAAGAAGGCCACGAGAGGCAAGAGCAAGTTATGCTACTCAGGTGTTTCCAGTGCTTCTCGCATCCTCGCTCCTCGGGCTTCTGACAGCCCGCCCTGCCACGCGGAGCGCGCCAGGGGCGGCGCCAGAGGCGCCGCCAGGGGGGGGCCCCGGCGCGATTCCAAGAAGTCCGCGCGGAGTGACATTTTGTCTGTGCACGCGCTCGAGCTCTCAGGATGCCCCTGCCGTCAGCTCCCCTTCAGCTTCGCGGCTGCTTCGTGAGCGGGCCGGCCTGTGCCTGTGCCTGTTGTAGCCCATTGGCCTCGTTCGTGCCCCGGACTTTGCCTTCGCCGCCTGACCTTTGTCCCGTGGCCGCGACCCAAAAATTGTCTTCTCCGATTGACTGCAGCAGGGGAACGACGGAGGCGGCCCCCAACTATTTTTCCCCCAATAAATACACACAAATAACAGAATCACCATATTTTCCCATATTTTCTGGGTTTTTGTCTTCCCCCCCACTTCCCATATTTTCCCAAACTTTCTGGGAATCGACGATTCATTGTGTCTGTGTTTTTGTCCCTCCTGACCCAAGACGCCCGAGTTATCCGGGGTAACTCGGGTCCGGGGTAACTCGGGTTTGGATTCCCGAGAAACGAACCCGAGTTATCCCTGACCCGAGTTACCCCTGATGATTCGGGGCTCTGAACCTTTGTCCCGTGGCCGCGACCCAAAAATTGTCTTCTCCGATTGCCTGCAGCAGGGGAGCGACGGAGGCGGCCCCCAATGAAGGGGCCCCAGGACACACAAATAAATACACACAAATAACAAAATCCCCATATTTCCCCATATTTTCTGGGTTTTTCTTCCCCCCCACTTCCCATATTTTCCCAAACTTTCTGGGAATCGACGATGAATTGTGTCTGTGTTTTTTTTTTTCCCTCCTGACCCAAGACGGCCCCACGAGCGCCCCCAGGCTTGGCCCGGTGGCCGCCCGGGGTGGGCCGCACGGCGGCCAGCGCAGGCCTCCCCCCCCCCCCCCCCGAGAGCGCCCCGAGGGGCGCCTCTTCCCCCGCACGGCCTCCAGCAGAGGGCGCCCGACGGCCCGCCGAGCGCCCCAGGACTTATAAAGGGAAACTAGGACACACAAATAAATACACACAAATAAAAATAGTCCCCATATTTCCCCATATTTTCTGGGTTTTTGTCTTCCCCCCCAATTCCCATATTTTCCAATATTTTCCTGGGAATCGAGGATTAATTGTGTCTGTGTGTTTTTTCCCTCCTGGACTTAACGGGCGAAGAGCGGCATAACATAAACTTTTTCGCCGTCGGGGGCGCCTGTCCCTGGGCGGCTGGGAAGTTGCATGACGTAAACTGTTTCGCCGTCGGGGGCGCCTGGCCCAGGGCGGCTGGAAAGGTTATACCCCTACGGCGAAGAGCGGCATGACGTAAACTGTTTCGCCGTCGGGGGCGCCTGTCCCTGGGCGGCTGGAAAGTTTTATACCCCTACGGCGAAGAGCGGCATGACGTAAACTTTTTCGCTGTCGGGGGCGCCTGTCCCTGGGCGGCTGGAAAGTTTATACCCCTACGGCGAAGAGCGGCATGACATAAACTTTTTCGCTGTCGGGGGCGCCTGTCCCTGGGCGGCTGGAAAGTTTATACCCCTACGGCGAAGAGCGGCATGACATAAACTTTTTCGCTGTCGGGGGCGCCTGTCCCTGGGCGGCTGGAAAGTTTATACCCCTACGGCGAAGAGCGGCATGACATAAACTTTTTCGCTGTCGGGGGCGCCTGTCCCTGGGCGGCTGGAAAGTTTATACCCCTACGGCGAAGAGCGGCATGACATAAACTTTTTCGCTGTCGGGGGCGCCTGTCCCTGGGCGGCTGGAAAGTTTATACCCCTACGGCGAAGAGCGGCATGACATAAACTTTTTCGCTGTCGGGGGCGCCTGTCCCTGGGCGGCTGGAAAGTTTATACCCCTACGGCGAAGAGCGGCATGACATAAACTTTTTCGCTGTCGGGGGCGCCTGTCCCTGGGCGGCTGGAAAGTTTATACCCCTACGGCGAAGAGCGGCATGACATAAACTTTTTCGCTGTCGGGGGCGCCTGTCCCTGGGCGGCTGGAAAGTTTATACCCCTACGGCGAAGAGCGGCATGACATAAACTTTTTCGCTGTCGGGGGCGCCTGTCCCTGGGCGGCTGGAAAGTTTATACCCCTACGGCGAAGAGCGGCATGACATAAACTTTTTCGCTGTCGGGGGCGCCTGTCCCTGGGCGGCTGGAAAGTTAACCTGTCCCTGGGCGGCTGGAAAGTTTAAAGTTTATACCCCTACGGCGAAGAGCGGCATGACATAAACTTTTTCGCTGTCGGGGGCGCCTGTCCGCTGGGCGGCTGGAAAGTTTATACCCCTACGGCGAAGAGCGGCATGACATAAACTTTTTCGCTGTCGGGGGCGCCTGTCCCTGGGCGGCTGGAAAGTTTATACCCCTACGGCGAAGAGCGGCTGACATAAACTTTTTCGCTGTCGGGGGCGCCTGTCCCTGGGCGGCTGGAAAGTTTATACCCCTACGGCGAAGAGCGGCATGACATAAACTGTTTCGCCGTCGGGGGCGCCTGTCCCTGGGCGGCTGGAAAGTTCATACCCCTACGGCGAAGAGCGGCATAACATAAACTTGTTCGCCGTCGGGGGCGCCTGTCCCTGGGCGGCTGGAAAGTTCATACCCCTACGGCGCGAAGTGACATGGCATGGCGCCCAAAGCCTGTCGGGGCGCCTGTCCATGGGGGCTGGAAAGTTCATACCCCTACGGCGAAGCGGTAGTTTTCGCCGTCGGGGACGCGCGTTCCCTGGGCGGCTGGAAAGTCATACCCCTACGGCGGCAGCGGTAACACTGTTTTCCGCTGTCGGGGGCCGTCCCTGGGCGGTGGAAAGTTTATACCCTACGGCGAAGAGCGGTATGACATAAACGTTTTCGCAGTCGGGGGCGCCTGTCCCTGGGCGGCTGGAAAGTTTATACCCCTACGGCGAAGAGCGGCATGACATAAACTTTTTCGCCGTCGGGGGCGCCTGTCCCTGGGCGGCTGGAAAGTTCATACCCCTACGGCGAAGAGCGGCATGACATAAACTTTTTCGCCGTCGGGGGCG